AACTGTTGGCACTATATAAATCCTGTATAATAATAATAATTATTCGCTCAAAACAGAAGTAGAGCCAAAGCTCTTTTGGCCATACTTCTCATGTACGTCACAGGAATGCACTTAGTTCTGCACTCCTGTGAACTGTATTCAGCCGACAGCAGGCTAAAGTCTGTTGTCGGCTGATGTCACTCAGTCTATGTCAGGCTTCAGATGTCAGATGGCTGGACTGGCAGCTGGCTCAGCCTCTATGCGACTCGCTGAGAGCTTGTGCCAGCCAGCCGTTTACCGCCTCCTCCATAGCCCAGCACTCCAGTGGGAGGGGGAGCAGAGCAGAGGGCTGACAGTCACCAGCTCTCTGCTATCTGAAGACTGTGAACTGAGAAATCAGTGGTCTTTGATTGCTCAGTTCTCAGACTTGATAGGACATATAGGGCGGGTTTAGAAAAAAATAAACGTTCATACTCATGCTGCATCCACTTAGGTGAGTATGGATATTTATTTTTTTCTTAACTCGCACTTCTCTTTTAAAAAGAACTAAAGGCAAAACATATTTTTTCTATGTTCAAGAAACTGAGGGTTATAACCTCAGTTAGGTTTTTTTTGCCCCTTGAGGAAATTTCCCTTCACTTCCTGTGCCATAGTTACAGTGATATTGGTTTCCAGAACACAGAAAGAGAGTGAATCTCTTCAACAGGGACACAAACAGTAATAAAAACCTTACAGGTGTTCTAATACTTCTCCACACTATCTAAAATTTTAAAAAGCTTTGCTTTTAGTTACTCTTTAACATGGGGGGTGGTTCAAATATGTACATACAATGACATCATCTAACTCAATAATGACAATTTCATACTGTATGCTGTAATGACATCATGCATCTAGGAGTACCATGGGAGTAAAGTATAAAGTATATATTGCTTAAGTAAAAATGCAGTGGAACTAAAGGCCAGAATACTCACCTATGTTGCAATGATTTGACACCCACGAGGTCCCTGGCTGGCATCTTCCCTCAAGCTTCTTCTGGGTGCCAATCTTTGGCTGTCTTGATTAGCCAGTATGGGATGAAATCGCTCCGACACATGCAAGGAAGTAATTCATACCGGTTTACAAATCTTCTTTTTTACCTTTTGTTCTAATTTGAATAATTTATAATTGAATTTCCAACTGAAATACATTTTCCCCAACTGTCCCCTCTTTGAAACCAAATCCCTCTGTCCATCATTCTTCCTCAATTGTCCCTCATTTTGCCTGATGTAAGGATTTCTATAACAAAAAATTTAAAACATTTTTTATAATTAATTATCAATTGTAATAAACCTTTTCATCCATCATTTATTCTATCTTTTGTTTTGATAATTCAGAATAAAAGTAGTGAAAAAAAAATTGTAGATCCTCATGGCAGCTGCCTACATACCTCGGGACACTACAATGTGTCCCTCTTTCCCATCTCACAAGGTTAGGAGGTATGGAAATGTAAAGCTCACAGTAACTGAAAAGCTATTGTGTGGGTAAGCCATTGGAAGTTTCCGCACATCTCTTCTCAGATCAGAGAAGTTGGGTGGTGGTTTTTTAATAGGATTAGCAGCAAGTGTGTTCATAGTGAGTGAAGTCACCTCACTGGCAGGAAATCCCTGTCACCCCCTGTTAAACACACAAGGAAAGGAAGAAGGAAATCAAGACACATAATTAGTAGCAGCAATAAGATGAGAGGTTTCTCTATCTAAACCTTGTGACCTTTGGTAATAGAGCTGTCTGCCCTGCGTCCTGGTTTCACACAGATGTTCAATAAAACGAAGTCATGTCTGTTCGCTCTCACTATGTTTTGGCTGCAGCCAATGCCTTTCTTCTTCTATCATAGCTTAACATCAAAAAGAACCAGGCTGCAGTGGAGGAAATTTGTCATAAGTTTAGAAAAACCCACACATACAATGTCCAGGTCTGGTTTGATTTAGGCATATTGCGAAACTGGATCTAGCAAAGTATCCACCGAGTTCAGAGTGCTTCTCACAGTTTATAGTTAAAGCCTGAAGAAGGGATCTGAGTTATACTGAAAGCTTGCTTATTTCATGACATAAGTTAGCCACTTAAACTCCAAACTCTCAACTACATATTAAGTAAGTGTTCTCATGCCAGATCGCAGAGAACCTACAAGCTTGTGTACAATTGGTAAGGCCCAACTCTATCCTAAATGGTTTATGGACCATTTACATCTTAACACTTTGTTTGTGGTAGGTTTACTAATGCACATTATTGCATGTCATGTCACACATTAATTTGTGCTGCCTTCCTATTCATTTAAATGGGCTGCCAACACAATGTTACTTGCCCAAAATGGACATGCCCTATTTTTTTCCAATGACAGTGCTCATGCCGAGTGTTATGGTGAGCTGCAGTGTGTGTGCATTGTATTAGTGTTCTAGTGTGCCATTTATAATGATTCATTTTTTATTTCAGGTACTTATATAGTGCCATCAATTTATGTAGTGCTTTACATATACAGGTATATATATATATTGTACATTCACATCAGTCCCTAACCCTCAAGGGGTGTACAACCTAAGGTCCCTAACTTACATGCATACACATACTAGGGCCAATTTAGACAGGAGCCAATTAACCTACCAACATGTCTTTGAAGTGTGGGAGGAAGCTGGGGTACCTGGAGGAAACACATGCAGACACAGGGAGAACATGCAAACTCCAGGCAGGTGGTGCTGTGGTTGGTATTCAAAACAATGACCCTAGTACTGCCAGGCGGAAGTGCTAACCATTTAGCCACTGTGCTGCCCCATATATGTTTCCATCCATTGCAGTAATGCGCAGTAAACACAATGGGTGGACCTTCTATTACTAGATAGGTCTCACTGCTTTTTTGTGGTTGGACCCAATGTGTGTTTTGTGACCAACTTGACCATTCACATGTGCCAGGAGTCCTTCCAATGTAATACACCGCCGCTCATACAACAGTATCAGGAAAAAGGTTCATTGCGCAAAGCAGCTGATTGTATTAAACCATATAAAACCTTACAATTAGATCGCACTCACATGTTTATGTGCCTAAGATACATACAGCTTATAGCTGCCACCATCCCGAGAACAGAAGCTGTCTTCTGCTCCAGGAATGAGATGTGACATATTGGCTGGGGAACACTGCTTCCACTAGTTTTGTCTGTAATTGGAGGTCTTCAACAAGCTTCTTGAAGATGTCAAATTACAGACGAAACTAGTGGCCGTGACTGGCAGAAGTGGGAGCCAATTGCTCCCGCTGCTGTGTCTCAGCCAATGAGCAGGGAGAGACCCGGCTCAACCAGTGCTCCCATGCACATTGCTGGATCGAGATGGGGCACAGGTGAGTAATAGTGGGGCTGTAGTGGGGGGCAGCACATAGAAGGTTTTTTACTTTCATGTATAGAATGCATGAAGGTAAAAAAAAACCTTCAGCTTCTAAAAGCAGTTTAAGCTTTAGATTGTGCTCTCTTTCCATGGTGTATGTGAATTCTAAGTGAAATGGTGTATTGTATGCTTGCAATTCACAAATATTGTTAAATCTGTCATCTGATTTCTGTGGGCAACATTATGTCAATAAGGGTTGATGTATTGAAAGTCTGCTAAAAGGAATACTTTTTTGTTGCCTACAGCAATCAATCAACTTTCAACAGTCATTTACACAGTCCTGGTTTGAAAATGAAACAAGTATTCTGATTGCTTACAGATAATAATGTTCTTCTTGGTACATCAACCCCATAAATGTTTGTTGTTAGGTTAAGTGTAGCTGTGTTTCTCTGCTTGTCAGAGAGGCTGTCAGGTAAATTCAGTGAGGTATTCTGCTTAACAGAGTGCTGTGATTGATTAGTCAGGTCTGCTCATGATGCTCTAGTAGTGTTTGAGTTTGTCTGAGTTCTGCCCACCTTCAAGAAGCTATGAGAGCCTTCCAGAACAGGGGTAGGGGCTAGGCAAATAGTCAGCATTAATATGGATACAGCCCTGGCCAATTGCAGGAGAGGGTGACCCCATTGCACGCTGGGAGTGGTATTTATGTTCTGTGAGTACATGGGTTCAGCAGCTTCCCCTAGACAGGATTGCACCAAGCCAGGCTGGAGGCAGGCTTGCCTCGCCTGGCACTTGCTGCCATGTATGCCTCAGGTGGGCGACCTGAAGGCCTGAAGTTAGGAAGAGTGACCCTGGTTCTACAGTAAGCCTACTGAGGGGAGTTGTCTGCTAAAGATCTGTCTGGTATCACTGGAGAGAGTCAATTGGAAGATTGGAGGAAGGCAACCATACTGTCTTTGGACTTGTGTGTACAGACACTGAGAGATCTTGGGGACTCTGTGTGCTCGCTACCCCCCTACTGTTTGATAGTCAGTGTGGGTCTGAGAAAAGGGAACACTGGCTGGAGTTCTGAAGAGCTTGTCCAACCATTGCTACTGCAAAGGACTTTGCTCAGTTCTATTACTCTTGGACTGCCACAGTCTGCCGTAAAAGGCCTGTACCTGAGGAGCTCAGCCCTACAACTACTACTACAGCTAAAGGGACTTTGCTCATTCCTAAACTACTATTTAAACTACAATTTAAAGAAATTTCTGCTATTGGCTTTTAGTCAGGTCTTCAACAGTGCTCAACTAGGAGATCAGCTAGATGTCCACAGTATAAGTAGTTCTAATTTTGGAGTATTCTACCACAATTCCCCATCCCTATCCTCAGTTCTACAATAAACTCCAAAAACAAACATCCCCTAGACAGGTCATTGAAGACAATGAGCAAAAGAGTGTGTGTACCAGGCTGAAAATACTTTGTGCCTGGCTGCGAGGGAAGCAAGGGGAGACCTGGGCAAAAATACAAGCATTATCTCCGGGGGAAGCACTACACAAATGTTCATTGGTTACACCTCCTAATACAAAAAACAACTTTATTATCAACCATACCTCCTCCAATAGACAAGCTGCAGAGCAGGCAACCTGCTGTGATCTGTGTATTCCAGCTGGAACTGTAAGTTTCTTCAAGGAACACTCTGTGATAGTTGTACTCAGGGGCGGACTGACCATTTTGAAACTCGGGCACTGCCCGAGGGCCCGGGGTCAGTAGGGGGCCCCATGAGATGCCCCTGGTACCTTTTTCATAGGCTTTTTTGAGTTTGGGCAAGGACATAGGGGCCCCATGATCCCCTATTGCCTGGGGGCCCCATGAGTTGTCAGTCCGCCCCTGGTTGTACTGTACAGCATGAATGAAAAGAAGAGGATTACTTAACGCAGAAGTGGCCGCACATCGCACACACTTCATTAGTGTTCATTTATATTTAAAGTGCAAATGGCCAAAAATTTTTGGTTTTGACTGAGGTTCAGATTTAATGACTTACAGGGTATAGAGCATGGATAGGAAAAAACAGGTTAGCCATGTTATTAGGCAATAGGTCCATTGTTACTTGTAATTGAGCCTTTCTAAATTTCACAGTAACTTACAGCTAGCAACACTTTATATCTTCACTGGTACTAGGTGACCACTCTGCATCAGATAATGCTAAGTGTACAGTGATGTCTAACAATATTCGTATACCTCTACTGCTCTGAGATCATTCTTACCTAAGGGGTCATTTTAAAAAACAACAGAACTATATTGCTTCTTCCAAACAAAAATAGAGGGCTTCGTACATTTATAAAGAACATACATGTTCTTTTATAAACAGTGGGGTTGATTTACTAAAACTGGAGAGTGCAAAATCTGGTGAAGCTATGCATAGTAGCCAATCAGCCTCTAACTTCAGCTTGTTCAATTAAGCTTTGACAAAAAAAACAAAAAAAAAAACTGGAAACTGATTGGCTACCAGATTTTACACTCTCCAATTTTAGTAAATTAACCCCACTATGTTCATTGACCATAAAATGCGGACTACAGTGTCCATAGCTGAGTGGAGTATAACAGAGAGTAGATACAACATCCACTCTCCATTATAAAGGAGCCTCTCTAAAATGAAGGAGACAATAAATTACGTAAATGAGCACTGCACATCAAGTTTTGGAGTTGCATTGCTAACAATCACTGGGCTTTGTAATACTGTTATATTATGTGACACAAATTAAATTGTAAGTCAGATGACTAATAAACTCATAAGATCATTTAATAAGGATATGGGAGATGAGTAGGTAATCAGCCAAAATCTCTTGGTCTTCTGAGTGATCTGAATGAATAAAAGGTGAAATACGATTAGTTGGGATGAGTTTTTGTGTATTGCACATAATCATCACACTCTGAACTAACACTGTGTTATCATCTGCACTTCTGTTCCATATGTAATCTGCTGTAGAGACCAGCTGATTTTCCAGCTGAAAAAATTATTTTCTTTTTTGTAGTTACATGATATTACAAATTTGTCATAATTTCTCATTTCAAGGAACAGTCCTGGGTATTCGAGATGGATACCTAGAAATGATTGTGCATGAAAATATTCTTGCGTCGCAGTACTGACCAACTTAATATCATGACAATACCATGTCTCCATGTTGTGTATAATTTGTTTCAGGAAATCCTACATGCAAATTCTGTTGAATAACTTTACTTAAAAACACAAAAGATTTTGAAAGAATGGCATAATGCTGCATGTAATACATGATCAGGATGGTTTTATTTACACAATGAACAGTGGTATGCAGAAACCGATAGCAATCAGGCAAAACTCAGCTTTAACGTGATTGTAACCCCTCACCTTGTAAAACAACCATTTCAGAATAAAATAGAACTGAAAGGCAAAACAATTGTGTATAAATATAAAAAACATGATAAATGTTTTTCTGTTTTTATAAGTCATCGCATTCCCTCTGTTCTCAGCTGCATAAGAGCTGGGGGAGGAGAAGCAGCAGCACACTGATCTTCCCAGAGAATGGCTGTGCAGGGTAGGGGCATATCAGGACAAGTCTGATTATTGGAGGAAAGCACACTGCGTCCCCAGCATAGCTAGATAACCGATTACGCTGTGCTCTCATGCCTAGTGCGGTCAGTTAAAAAAAAAAAAAAAAAACTTTCAATCATTTTTATTATTATTATTATTAATAAAGAAGTACATCAAAAGACAACATTACAAATGGTACATCACCCAGAGCCCTGGCACATATGTTGATAGGCAATGGAGAGCTGGTAAAGAGAAGAGCTCAGGGGGCTAGAACAAAAGTATTTAAGAGCTATCTGTTTCTCCCCAGAGCAGTGACTAGTCATCATTTAAGGTTCTGATAACAAGAGTAATATTAGATCAAATATTTAGTCGGTTTTTTTTTTAATAGGAGGGGGCTGGCAGGATCACCAGGGATTTCACACAAAGGAAGCAATACAAAGAGCACAGGATACTTCTTCATACAAGTACAGTACATGGTACAGCAGGTACATATGGCAAAAAATTAACTGACAGAGGTTCTAACCCCTTACTTTACCAAAATGAAAAAAAAATGTTTTGCCTATAGTTCTACTTTAACTCAAAAAATTCTTCTATTGCTTTCAGCCTCCTCCAAATCTCCAAATTAATTTTGTTCTGCTGTGATCCAACTTCTTGTTAGAGGGTGGCTACGTTCATTCTCCATGGTCCCACTGTATGTAGGAATGTAGCCACCTTCTCTTGCTCATTCCAGAGGTGAACTTTGGAAGTTATAAGAAGGAAGAAAAACACAGTAAGAAACTGTTCAATAAAAAAAAGATTACAGGACCATTAAGTTATGGATGTTTATGGATTGTTATTAGAGAACGAGGATGTCACCTAGTGCCACTGTAACTGCTAACATCAACCTTTTGATTTCTGAATTGTGCTACTGTGTGATTGTTTTGTAATGTTTTTATCATAGTTCTTTAGTGTATAAAATGTCAGAGACAAATCATTCAATAATTCCTTCACTGCACCCATCTTTAAGGAAAACTACACTGAGAGAAATATGTGGGGTGCCATTGCTGATGTCTTTCATGTAATACTAATTGGTTGGCTGATTCGGGCTTCCTTGTATATGAACCACAGACCTGTGACAAGTAGGCAGCCAGTGTAATTACAGTAAATTTACTAATCCTAACATAGCTTTTCTTTTATAACTGTTTAGAAGATCTGATAACTAAGCAACTGTTCTTTGGTATTCACATATACATGCATGCTTGTATTGATTGAGAGTACATGTTTAAGTACTGTTTACATACACCATATAACCGTAAGTATGTGTACACCCTCCCATATTAGTTCTGGTGTGAAGAACATGTGCACAAAGCCAGGTTTATAAAGACTTGGTTTGACAAGTTTGGCGTGGGGGACCTCAAGCAGCCTGCACAGAACCCTGGCCTCCGAGTTGAGCTTTCAGTTCAGCAGGTATTTTATTGAAAAAAAAATAGTCATCATACATCTGTCTGTCCTTGAACTCAATCACTACTGACAACCCAGTTTTTTTTTTCTAATTCGACCTACAAATTAATGTATCACATGCACTGTAAAAGTTTTGCTCCAAAAATGAGAAGATAAGTTCCAAATCACTAATATATTTTTGAACATGCTAAAAAATCATTTTTATGATCCTTATCACTTCTGACAATCACAAGAAAATATTGCCACACTTCTATGCATGTATAGTAGTCTGAAGCAATACTTGAATTGGTCATATGGTTTGCAATTATTGGCCTGTTTATGGCCAACCTTAGTTTTTGCAACAAAATGCAATCATCCAGTGATCAAAACAATTGACCAGATGTTTTTTTGGGTACCATCATTTTCTGATGGCAATATCCAGAGAAGCAGGATACTTTTAGGTTGTAGATGAGGACACAAGCTTTCTGGCCATAGTTGGATAGTGCTAGACTGTATGGTGTACATAAAGACATGACCCAAGTGAAGCATGAAGCTGGCCAATGTTAGGCTGTACATGAAGACATGACCCAAATGCCCTTAGACAGTGTAAAATTGGACAGTGCTAAGTTGTACATCAAGACATGACCTAACTGCCGATAGACAGTGTGAAGCTGGACAGTGTTAGGTTGCACATGAAGACATGACCCGAAGGCCCATAGAGAGTGCTAAGCTATGAAGACATGACCTGACTGCCCATGGACATTGTTAGGTTGTACACAAAGGCATGACCCGACGGCCCATAGAGAGTGTGAAGCTGGACAGTATTAGGTTCTACAAGAAGACAAGATCTGACTGGCCATGGACAGTTCGAAGCCTGATCATGTTAGGTTGTACATGAAGAGATGATCTGACTAGCCATAGACAGTGAAAAGTCAGACAGTGTTAGGTTGTACATGAAGACATGACCCAACTGCTCATAGGCTGTGTGAAGCTGGACAGTGTTAGGTTGTACATAAGGACACGACCATCCAGCCCATAGACAGTGTGAAGCTAAACAGTGTTAGGTTGTACATGAAGACATGACCCAACTGCTCGTAGGCTGTGTGAAGCTGGACAGTGTTAGGTTGTACATAAGGACACAACCATCCAGCCCATAGACAGTGTGAAGCTAAACAGTGTTAGGTTGTACATAAGGACACGACCATCCAGCCAATAGACAGTGTGAAGCTGGACACTGTTAGGTTGTACATAAGGACACAACCATCCAGCCCATAGACAGTGTGAAGCTAAACAGTGTTAGGTTGCACATGAAGACCTGACCTAATGACCCATAGAGAGTGCTAAGCTGTGAAGACATGATCTGACTGGCCATAGACAGTATGAAGCCTTACCATGTTAGGTTGTACATGAAGAGATGATCTGACAGCCTATAGACAGTGTGAAGCTGAATAGTGTTAGGTTGTACACAGGGACGGACTGACAACTCATAGGGCCCCCGGGGCAATTGGGGATCATAGGGCCCCTGTGTCCTTGCCTGCACTCAAAACACACCCAAACAAGCCTATAAAAGGTACCAGGGGCATTTTATGGGGCCCCCTACTGACCCCGGGCCCTCGGGCAGTGTCCGAGTGCTCGAATGGTCAGTCCGCCCCTGGTTGTACATGAAGACATGACCTGACTGCCTACAGACAGTGTGACAGTGGACAGTGTTAGGTTGTACATGAAGACATGACTTGACTGCCCTTAGATTTTTTCCTTTGCAGACTGCAACACACACAAAAGTGGTTATGCTGATAGATTTAAAGAGGTAAATACACCTAAACACCTTTGACAGCAAGGTAACTAATTAGCGTCGCCTTAAACCCAGCCATAGGAAGAGATTACATGTGGGAAGAGGAAACTTGTTTTGCAAAAGGGATTAC